TGTTTGTCTCCCAGTCTTTTGAGTTGTAAGTTAGATACATTGTCTTGTAAAGTTTCATTCTGCTGTCTGAGGGCTTCCACCATGGCCAACAACTACGCCATGTCTGGAGGATCTCCTTCAGACGACATTCTGGTGAATATGTTTTGAGGTGTGGCCTATGATAATTTTACCGAGGCCCCACGGTAGGCATCAATGTTCTTGCGTAGGAACAACAAATGGTTGACTTCCTTGTAGGAATAAGGAGAGCCTCAAAGGTATATTTTTGTCAAATATGTAGGGATTTGGGAGCTATGCAAGTAGTGTATATTTCCCAAGAAAAGTGTCTTGCTTATCCCTCTGGTGGAAGCCTCTTATGTAGTCCTCTTCTGGCGCCATTTAAGAGCCTCGATCATGGTGTGACCCTTGGGCTTTATAACTGTGTAATAGTCGCTGTCACCTTGAATTAAAGTGTTCAAAGTTATGTAATGTTAGAATAAATACACCGATGGCGGTTACATCCGTTAATGAGCTGGATTGATGACTGGCTATGTGCAAGTGGATCCCGGTTACAAGCAGTGCCCAGGTTGTTGGTGCATATGGGTTGCTACCCGGAGATATGGTGGTAGTCCAATATCGTTAGCTGAGTTGCATCTCCTCTCGAGTATCCTTTATTGTTAAGAGCCAATCACCAGCTTTGGTGTCCTCTCCGCCGACTTCATGACCTGGTTAGGATTAATATTTTCGAGATGTACAATCACCATCACTTAATCAACAACTTATCAAGCACTATCACTTAAGTAATAACTTATCAATTATCATCACTTGATTAACATATCAAGCATTATCACTTGATTAATCTCCAAGCACCATCACTTGAACATATAAAGTATTAAAAAAAAAGGATGAAGATTTCTCTTAAGAGAGTTGTCAACATCAAAACCAAATCAATAGTTAGATTAATTTTTTATATATACAAACACATAGATTGACACCTAGTTGGCGTGCAAGCACTTCAAAGTGACTTGCTCAACTTCTGTGTTTTTATACCCTTAAAAGTATGGTGAGATCGATTTGTGTTCCCTGAGTAGTCATCCATTTTAATATTTATTTTATTTCTTTAAATCACCCCATAAAAATTTAAAGCATGATTTAAGGTTCATTTTGTTTTTGGAGATTCATACTAATTTTCTGATGAATTGGTGATTAAGATGTAAGAATCAAATATGTGGATGAAGACTTATTTCTCTTATCACCCAAAGTTATGTTAATATTTGATGTCTATGTATTTCATGAGCTCTAGTGAAATTATGAATTATGAGTATGATCCTCATAATCTGGAAAAGTGCTTTAGTAAGTGTCTTAGATTTATTTTAGTATGTTTCAAGTTCGAATATAAACTAAATGAGATTGTCGTTTTACACATAGGAAAGCTCTCAAGTTGAATAAGAAAAATATGACATCGATTATGAATTATACTAAGGTGTAGTGAAAAGTTCAAATAACCTTAAGGATTGAATGAGGAAGATGCCTTGTGCATTTATGGATGGTTCAATTCATAAATAAGGCAAGTACATGATATAAGGTACAAGTGATCTTTGATATTTCTATACATCCATTTCTTATCTCATTTGAGGTGCTGACTCTGGGGAAGGATAAGGAGGTGAAGAAGCAAATGAATATGGGAATGGATATAAAAAGGTTGATGGTAAGAGAAAAAAAGGTTAAAGAAGAATGCAATTTATAGTATATGAAAAATCCAAGGTAGAAATCACATATTCAACGGTGTCTCAAACTTTCTTGGCGGAATTTCAATTTAAAACAAAACAAAAATCTTTAAAACTTAAAGCACTTATAAAAAGATGTTTGAATTTAAAACTAAGTTTCACTTTTCTCATGTCCTCTTCGGTCCAATAAAAGTCAGGTTTATTTATTACTTTATCATCAAAGCAAAAATTAGAAATAAACATATCATTGATTAAAAAATTTCCCATATAAAAGTAATTAGCTATAATAAAAGTTTTAAATCTCGCTTTTCACGATTCAAGTCTTTCACCATCAAACAATGGAGGTGTATTCATGAAAAGTTTCTTGTTAGAAATAAAAGTGTTTATAATCATCATTTTACCTACTGAGACTATTAATATTTAAATATGAGTTAGATTATGATACCATTTGTTGGACAAATAACTCCAAACACAATAAAGTGTGTGGATTTGAAAAACGATGTTCAAATAAAAAATCTTTGAGAATCAGATTTTTAAAACAAGTTTGTAAAACAAACAAGGAATACATAGCGAAATAAAAAAAAATCAAAGTAGAAACAAAGAAATAGAACATAAGTAAATAATGCCTGAAATGAAAATAAATAGGCAATTTCTCATTGCACTCTATACATTCTTTTAGGCCTCGGAAAAATTTCCGATGCATATCCGGGTGCCTCAAATTCTGTTTTTTCGGAGATGTATCTCGGAAGATATCATTTATTCTAATTATCATCAATTTTTCAACAAAATTGAATAAATATATATATTTTTTAAAATAGAAATATTTTATTATTCCTATAAATATAATTATTATTATTATTTACTACCATTATTATTTTCTTGGTTATAATTCATATAATAATAATTATTACAATTATTTTCTTGAATAATATATAATTCATATAACTAATTATTATATAATATTATTATAGACTATTACAATTATTTATTTTTTTTGAAAAACAATTGTTTTCAATATATAGATTAATAATTTAACTCTTACTTGACCTCATTTTAAGTTTGTAAAAACAATTATATTTTAAGCTTTTTATATTAAATAATTCACTTTTAGTACACAAAAAATAATATAAAAACCATGATTTAAAATAATATAATTTAATACAAAAAGACATTAAATTAAAATAAATAAAGTGTTATTATTTTAATGTATTTTGATAGATTTTCTTTTATATGATTTTATTACTAAAATATATCAATCTAGATCGTTTTGTTTTATTACTAAAATATTAACATAATAATATAGAAAATAATAAAACATAAATTATATATTAGTCAAAAAATAATTATAATAATTATTATTATACAAATTATATATTAGTCAAGAAATTAACTATTATAGAAAATAATATTAATTATAGTAAATAGTAAATAATATTTATATTTATAGAAATAATAAAAAAAGTTCTATTTAAAAAATATATATTTTTAGTTATTCAATTTTATTGAAAAATAAATGATAATTGAAACTAATGATATCTTCTGAGATATATTTTAGAATTAATCTTTGGTAAATTCAGAAATCATCTCTTAACTAAATTTTACTTAAAAAATAATATTTAATGTGTTTAAAGATATATATTCGAATTCACTCAAAAATATTTTAAAATTTTAAAAACTGTATCTCATATAATATGGATGGGATGAAAAATTGACAATAAATAAGAATAGAGAAAGATGCATTAGTTACGTCTTTTCCTCAAATATTTCTTCTTTTAAGAGTTTCTATGTTAGGAGCTTTTTCAATCATCACAACTAATAATTTGCAAAATTTCTTCAAAATGTTACGATATTTTGAATCTATAACGATTTTTTATCCACACAATTAATGGTTTGCAAAATTTCTTTAAAATTTTACGATATTTTAAACTTGTGATCGTTTTCAAACCCTCACAACCAATTTGCAATATTTCTTTAAAAAACCTTTTATTTGTAAGATTCTTAGTTTAAATACAGTGTCTTTCTTTAATTATTGTATCCCTTATTTCTTTTTACTTCACCGGTTATATTTAATTTATTTATACACGACATTAAAAGTAGTTCCGCATACTATTTTAAATCTAATTCAGTTAACATAGGTAGGAGTACTAATCTAGTACACCCAATAGACAAACTATGCAGAATACATCATGGGCTAGACATACCCAACGGTATGGCCACTAGTCATTTAAGCGTGTTTAATTTAAAGTTGTAAAAAATATTTTAAGAAATATAATCACCAGAATACAACATTTCTATTTTTATATTTAATTCAAATTTTAAAAAAATTATTTTAAAAAATATTTTATTTTCAAAAATCTTATGTGTATGTGATTTTTCTATTTTTATTGTGATGATGAAAGAGTGAAAATCCAACATTTTTATGGGAATGAATTTAATTATTATTAATTTTTTATTTTTACTCATAAATTATTATTATTTTTATTTTTCGTAATTTTTAAATTAAATAAATTTTATAAAAGAAATTTTTTTATCCAAATATATAAGTTAAAATATTATTTCAAAAAATATAAATCTAAAAAATATATTTTAAAAATATAATTGAATAACTTGAAAGAAACTCATCCTTAATTATTTGACCGCTTTATATCACCTAGATTAAATACTTTTAACAAATAAAAAAAAAGGTTAGAAACTAGTAAAATAATTGGACCAAAGTCTAAAACAAACCATAAAGGTCACAACAAGTCAATCGCGCAATTTCAACGTTATTGATATCCTTATTCTAATATCTTCTTCTCAGTCCCTCACATTATCATTAATATCAATATCAAAATCTCCAATTTGATAGTCCTAATTTACAAAGAACATAAATGAAATATCTTTAAAAAAATTTAAACTAGAGAAGCAACGTGTCAAATATGGCAGTTACCATTGCAAAACGTAGATTTTTTTTATTACAATCCCGCTACCGACAACGACATACACAACACACTCACATGACACATCCACAATACCGAGTCATTAGTCATGACCCTCCCTCCCACTCACACTCCATTTTCTCTCTACTCACTCACTCATACCCTTTCTTCAATTTCTTCACCAAATTTCTCACCCTATCACAAGATAAATATTTCTTTCTATCCTCCAATTCCAACACACCCTTAAATTCTCTTTAATTCTGTCACTCTCTTTTTATTTCCCTTTCCCTATTCACCATTCTTCACACTTTCTCTCTCTTTCTCTCTCCTTTATTTTCCCGCCAATTTCTCTCTCTAGTTTTTTCACTCTTTTTTTTCCATGACCGTACACTCAACCATGAAGCTTCAGAAACCGAAGCTAAAAGCTTCAAGATCAAATTTTGAAACTAACCCATTATTCAAAACCACCACCATAACCCAAAACAACATGAAGTTACTCAAGGTCATTCTCACTGACCATGATGCAACCGATTCTGACTCTTCCGGCGAAGATGAACCCTCGCCACCACAAAAGCTTCGAGGGAAGAGAGAAATAACCGAAATCACCATGCACATGAACTTTCCTCTTGTATCTGAATCTCCTAAAACCTCACCTTCTTCTTCAGCTTGCTCCACTGACCCGACCCGTTTCAAAAGACGTGGAAAAGTAGTCAAAAAATCTGGTATTGCTCGCCGGGAAAACATGTTCCGTGGCGTTCGTCAGAGACCGTGGGGTCGTTGGACTGCCGAGATCCGTGACCCGAACCAACGAAAACGCGTCTGGTTAGGAACTTTCGACACGGCGGAGGAAGCCGTCGCTGTGTACGACGAAGCCGCCGTGAAGCTTAAGGGTCCAAAGGCAATTACCAACTTTCCCGGTAAAATTCCCAACAACGACGCCGGTAATAAAGATGACAACGAGCAATCGAAATTTTTCTCCGGCGACGGTTTTGCTTCTCCGACCTCCGTTCTGCCTTACTACGACGGTGACTCGACGCCGTTTGACAGTTTTCGTTACGGAACAGTGGATGCGTTTGGCTTCGATATTGACACGCCGTTAAGTTTAACGGATGTTAACTTTATCGGGTTTGGGAAAGAAAAAGAAGAGTTCGGTGAGTTTGACTTGGACGAATTCATGACGTGGCCCAGTTAAACCCCGAGGGCTTATTAGTCATTTCTGAAGAAAAACCCAGAGTCGTTAATATTTTTGTAGCGTTCTGCTATTGCCTGATGAAACTACTAAACTACCCTTGTGACTAAGTTTTTTTATTTAATTTTTATTATGCAGCTTGTAAGAGTGTAGAGCACTAGAGTAAACGTTATCTTTAAGAGGATATTTTGGTCATAAGCTTATTTGTAATTATTTTTGTCGTTTTGTCTAAAATAGGGGGACATATATATCTACTACATCAATACTAGTATAAGATGTGGAAATTATTAAAAATGACTACTATTATTATTATTATTGTAGTATTTGTTTTGAAATTAAATTTTGCCTTTTTGTTAAGAAGATGCCAGATTTTATGATTCATCTAGTAAGATTCTATGATTCTATATGGACCAAAAGATTTGGTTAATATTATGTTCCAACAAAGAATTGACACATGTTATAGATATTGCGTGCTCTATTTATTTTATTTTAGATTTTTTTTAGAAGAGATTTACTCTTGCACATAACAAAATATCTCAACTACATTATACACGTTACTCTTTCAAAGTACTCATATGATATGCTACGCATTTTTAAAATTTTAATTTGTTTCATAAAATTGTGACATAGTGTTAGCCTAGCCTAGGTGGTAATCGGTGATCGCACAGGTGTTTTACCATGTCTGTAGCATGATATCTGTTCTTTATATATATGATGTGTGTTTTTGGTTAAGGGTGTTTGCCATCAGGTTTGAATTGGTTTTGAGACAAAAAATTATTGAGCACATGGTTTAGTTCGATTTTTGAATGATAAAAATAAAATTTGATCCAATCTGATATAATTTATGCGGTTTATTTTGGTTCAGTTAGTTCGATTTTATTTGATTTTTAAAACAAAAATACATAAATACTTTTAAATTATTTAAAATTTTATTTTAATTAGAACTGACTACAGTTTTAAAAAAAAGAAATTAAGTATTTTTTTTGTTTGATTTTCTTTTAATAAATAAAAGAAAATTAGTCAATAATTATACAATTTGTATCATTTAAAAATAGTAAGAGAGAACAATTTAAATAAGATTGAAGATTCATCGAGGGAGGGGATGAAATAACATGATATTGGAGGTGATTTGTGTGATTATTGAAACATATTTTTCAATAAAATGATATTCATTACATTTAATATGGAGAAAGAATAGAATTATATCAAACAAAATGTAAAATATGCAAAAATTCAAACAATAATATATTTAATACTTATTATATTTTGACTACTGAAATATATTTTTCAATAAAATCTCATATTTATTATATTTAATATTGATTATATTTTAGAAAAATATATTTCTAGAATGGTAGAAGAATTATAATGTTTTTAGATTTTTTTTTAAATGTATATTCATTATATTTATTAAATGATGTTAAAATAAAAATAAGTGGATAAAAATATTTTGATTCGGTTTAGATCGGTTTAGTTTTTATACAGTCAACTGAAAATCAATCTGAACCAATCGGTTATTTTATTAAGTGATTCAAACACATTACAAAAAATCGGTTTTTTCAATTTTCGATTTTTTTTTCGATTTTCAATTTCTTTTTTGAATTAGATTGAATCTGTATAACTCAAATCTATTTAGTGTCATATTGGTGTAGCAGTGTGGGCTTTAGAGTTTGTATGTGTTTCTATTGTAGGTGATTATCATGATTTAATTACATTAGTTTTTGATAGTTTAGATGTTAATTAACTCTCGGATTGTAACTCGTTTGGTCATGGTATCCCTTATGCCTTGACTTGAGTTATTTATTTAATTGCTTTTTGCTTCATAAAAAAAAAGAGAGGTTAAATATTGATTGATTAGATTAATTAGACGTTTTAAAGTGGTGGAGGAAAATAGGTGTGTGGGGCCAATGAGTTATAGCCCACAAAGAGATGGCTGCTTGTGGTTGATAGGAAACTATGTATAATAATGGCAGCCCCCGCCCCACTAATACTATGGTTGGTTTATGCTTCTTCACATTTCACTTACTTGTACTTTTCATATGGAATTCGAACCCAACCTACCAACCAATTGATTGCGGCGGCTCAATTGTGAAATTTCAAACTAAACTTGATTTTTGAATCTACATACTTGAACTAATTATTTGTCCAATTTTAATGTCTCCATTAGTTGTGTTGGCTTTAACTTTTACAAAATATTAGAAGAGTGTCTCTTTTTTAGACCATCAAATTTAGATTAGGAGAGACAAACTCCTTTAAACAATGTTAGAGATATTTTATCCAATTACTATTATAAACAAAGTTCATAACATAATGTTATTGTGCAAATATGCCATGAACGGTCTTCATGTTCGATGAGTCAAATTTATAGTAGTATGTCATATTTTTTGGACTAAAGAATGTAGAGGTTATCTACCAAAGTTTGTTGAACAAAATCTTGGTCAAATATATCGAAATTTATATGGACGATACAATGATCAAAATTCGAGTATAATTTCATTATAAAAAACTATAAACCATATTTAAACAAGTTAGAAAATATAAAAACTACCGATGAATTATATAAAAAAAAAGTATTTTTGGGTCTAAAGAAGTAAATTTGTGGAGTTCATGATCATCTAAAGAAGGATAAAAGTCAATCATGACAAATGCAATACGATAATAGAGATGTATAGTTCAACATCCATCAAAGAAGCGCAACTCTATTAGGACGAATATGATCTTATTTCATTTTTTATCAAACGAAGTTAGCAAATTGCTCTCTATCATTCCATTAAATCCTTAAAAAGTCGGAGGGTTTTTAATGGATCCCCGATCCGAACACACCTTCATCAAAATGAAGAGGTTCATTTCATCACTATTTGTCTTAACGAAACTCACTTCATGTACTTAGTTGAATCCTTACTTGTCATCCACAAACGATGTCATTACCTTAATACTAGTAGAAGAGAGAAAGAGAGTACAACACCTAATGAACTTTGTGAGTAATATGTTGCAAAGGGCAAATGTGTGATATTAAAAATTGGAAAAAATTACATTTAATTTTTTATTGTCACTTTGATTCTGAAGCATTACTATATATCATTTAATTCTTCTATATGCAATGTCTTTAAAACTCTAAAATAAATTTCTTTTCTCTATTGAAACCTTTTAGAAAAGACTATGACTATAAAAGAATTCATGCATGTTACCTGGATGTACTAACCTCATATGTGTTATAGAGGTAGAATTCTTTGTGTGCAAATATTCTAAAGAACACTCTTCTAGAAGATCGAGATCGAGATCAAGATAAAAATCAAGATGAAAATAAAGATCAAGTAAAATATCAAGATCTAACTAAAATCAAGCAATATTCATCAATATCTACTAATGAATGAATGACCATAATGAAGAACCACAACTCGACACTTCCTTAATCAATCATATAACTTTATGGTATTGGTTTATCAAATTGAGTCAAATGACGTTAATGAAGATCTCATTGACGAACATTGGTATCTTGCTATGCAAGACGAGTGAAATTAATTTGAGAAAAACAATATTCAGAAACTTGTTCCAAATCTTCACCTAATACAGTGATTGGAACCAAATGGATATTTCACAACAAGCTTGAAGAAAATAAAAATGTTTTAAGAAATAAAGAAAAACTCATTGCAAAAGGGTATAACCAACACAAACATAATTTTTGATGAATGTAATGTTCTTCTAGCTAGATTAGAGGCCATAAGGATACTTTTAGACTACTCATGCATTTTGAATTTTAAACTCTTTCAAAATAGATATAAAGAGCATATTCTAGAACGGTTACATCTAAGAGAAATGGATGTTGATCAACCTCCCAATTTTTTGAACTTTTCTTTTCCGAATCATGTCATTAAGCTGAAAAAGAATCTATACGATCTAAAACAAGTCTATCTAAAACAAGTCCCTAGACTTTGGTATAAATGGTTGAGCAAGTTTCTGCCAGAAAAATAAATTTAAAAGAGGATACAATTTAACTTATTAAAAAGACTGAGCATAACATTTTACTAGTACAAATTTGCGTTCTTGTGCTACTAATGAGTAATGAGTTCTTGTGCAACGATTTTGTATTTAGTGCTACTAATGAGTAACGAGTTCTTGTGCAATGATTTTTCTGATATGATGCAAAATAAATTTGAAATATCTATAATGGACGAATTTTGATACTTAGACTATAAATTCATCAATTTAATATTTATAAATCAACAATTTAAAAAAAAAATAGTGATTGGCATGGCTCACATTAGAGTGAGATTGTTCATACTTTAATAGAAATTAACTAACTTTTGCGTGTGAATATATATTGAAAAAATATATAGTTTAATTGAAATTTTGGCTTTTTTATTTTCACAAAGTTAGAGAATTAGAGTTTTTTTTTTCAAGAAAAAGGGGCAAGGGCCCATGATATAAATGAAGAAAATAGATTAAAAAAATGAGAGGGGGCAAAGAACCTCGCCTCAAACCTAATTAATTCTATAATTTGGTAAATCTAACTTATTTTTGTTGAAGTCCAACAAAACATCAGGGTGAACCTCATTCCATCAAGTAAGCGTATTAACTGTTAGGCTTAAGTTAGCTAAGATAGTTGCACAATGATCTCCTTCTCTAAATATGTGCAAAGCAAAAAAAAATTATCAACTTGAACAAACAAAGATCCCATCTATTTCTAAGACGCCATGATACCATGGAGGTCTTAGAAAAAGCAGAAACCACTAAAGAAGAGTCATATTCCAACCTCAAATTGGACCAAGTCTTACTGATAGCAACTTCCATGGCCAAAATGGCCCCCATAAGCTCATCATGAAGTGTGTTAACATACCTCAAATAACACCCAAAGTTGTCAAGATAATCGCCTAAACGATTGCAGAAAATTCCGCCACACACATCCAGCAAAGGCGTACCACTAGAGGCCCCATCAACATTAAGCTTAATCCAACCTTGTTGAGGAGGCGTCCATAATACTTTCAAAGCAATCGACGGACGAG